TTAATGTATATTTTGGACCGTCCACATTATGTCATTTAGAATGTAAAGTTATTCCCTATATTTATAAGACTTTTTCTTCGCTTAGTTTTGAGTTTGGAATTCTTTCTTTTCTTGTAAGGTTAGGTTGTCTATATATACCGACTTTGATTAGATCCAACTTTTGGATTTGGTACATGTTTGGCACCCGTTTATTTTTCTTTCTATTCTCGTGAAAGTTTTGACCTAAAATTGTATTGTCGTCTTTATCTACTTGTTTTTCTACATATGAGTTACGTCCGAAATTTGTCTATTTTATAAGTCATATTATCACGCTCTAAAATGAATCGTATCAAAATTGATTTGCAACATGTTTTAGTTTTACATCACAAATTTATTCAACGTGTTTGTCGTGATGTGACTATCCCCTAATAACGGTTTGATGAATATTTTAATTTTTTTTTATAAATACAAAATTTTTTAAAACTCACCCGGTCGAGTAACTTTCAAGTATAGTTTAGTAAATTATATATTTACCACCATAAATAGATGTCACCACTAGTTCAATAGAGTCAACTCTAATAATGGCATGAGTTCGATATATTAAAGTATTTTTTAAAATAGTTTAATTATTTTATAAATAAATATTTAGAAATTTTATGAATATGTTGTAATCTTTTTATAATTATTTTAATAAAAATGAGATTATTTTACACAAATTAAGGTTTTTGAATCCTCCTAAAATATTGTGTGTGGGCCCGTGAGTGGTGACTGGAGGCCGAATTGTGAAGGCCCAGTACGTTTGGGCCTAAAGGCTTTTGAGAGGCCCAAATTTCGGGATTTGAACACCTGCTGAATAAGTGTCGGCCCATCACTATTTTACTTCTAGTTTTTTTTTATTTTTCTAGAAATGTCGGATCCAATCATTTGTTTTTTCTTTTCGGAGCAAATTATGTAAAGGATAAATAATTTGGTTAATTATTGGACGATTATTGTCGCCTTTTTACTTCATATATTTGGTGATAATTTATTTCATATTATAATCCACTTTTTCCCTTTATCACATTCATATAAGACTCCTACTAATAACTCCATTTTTTTTTAATTTCTTATAAATTATTTTATAAAATTTAATAAATAAGGAATTCAACCCAATCCAACTTAACTATAAAGTTTTTTTTGGTGAAGTTGGCTCTGAGTTGGTTTATTTAAATTTTTGTTTTTAATAAAAATAAAAAATTAATTTGTAAACCATGTTTTTATTTATTTTCAAGCATTTAATTAATATCTTAAGCTCAATTTTTTATATTTATTTTAAAAAATTATATTTTGAATAGTTAAAAGAATATTAAAATTAATAGTTATTAGAAAACAAATAATAAAAAATTAATCATGTATATGCTTTTGTTTTAACAATGATAAATAATAATTGAAAATTGATTAATGGGCCTTTATGAATTCGCGGCCTCATAACAGCCCAACAATTTGATAAGGAAGGAATGAAATAACTGTACATAAATCTTGCAGGCGAGTTTAACGGTGGAGATTGGCAACCGCGTGCGAATCTCCATTCTGACAATGCCACGTCATTCCTTTTAAGACGGAATATATTTAAAGGTACTTTGCTCAGATTCAAGTGAACTCCTTCCTTTTTAGGTTCGAATCTCTTTTACTTCCGGTGAATTTTATTTTCCTTTTTTTTACCACTTGTTTTAAATTGATAATTTTAGTGAAGATTTAAATAAACTTTTTTATAAATATTAAAATATTTTAACAACTTGTATTACCCATTTCTTATCGGAGAATTTTGGTCATGTTTGTAGGTTCGAAATTTTTATTTTATTGTCAATGAACGGAAAATATGAATATATTATGACGGGTAAATATTTATAAATTTTATAAGATTTTAATTATTAATATGAGACATGAATAAGTAAAATATTGTTAAATAATTAAAATTCATTAAAATAAAAAAAAATGAAGGATTATATTAGATTTGGATCTTATTAAATCATTTTTGTCAGGGATTTAATTGACATATGGTACAAAAATCCTCGAAAAGGGAGGATATTTAAAGAAATGCTACACATTTTAATGTTAATTAATTTAAAATTTTAATTAATACAACTTGAAAATAGAATTATTATTATTATTATTTTTTTTTTTTTGCTAAGAAAAAGAAAGGAAAAAAGGAGAAAGACTACGAAAGAACGTGGATTGCAGGGAATACGAGCGGACAATACTCGGAGCGGCGGGCACATGACTAACTGATGCATCGACGTCAGCCGCTAGCAGTTTCGAAAACCGACGCATCGTTTCTCATAAGAGAGCCGTTGAACACGCAACTTCCTCTTTGTACGCATCACGTTCTGTGTTTGTTCCGATTTGTCGTTTTCCAATTTTGACCAAATCCCTCGCACTTGCCGTTGCAGCCGTTTGATTTCCATGGGCCCAATTCTTCCCACTGGCCCATTAAGAGCGTACTGGCTAGGCCCACACCAGGAAGTTTGAGATCTTGACGCGTGGCAAATGACGGAAGGTAAGATCTATTCTGAACCGTTCGATTCGGGTAGAAGAAAATTAAATGAGAAGGTACTGGGAAATCCTCCAACGGATCTTGTGAAATAAAACTATTCCAACCGACAGTTAATTAAGCAGTTAATATAATCAGAAAAGTAAACGTTCTTTTAGACCATAAAATTATATTGCAAAATTTTTTTAAAAAAAAATCAAATATGAGCTTAATAGGAAGAAATTCTTATCTAATTACAATTAAACCTCCTAAAATTTTGGAGAAAGCAAAGATAATGATGATGATTAAAATTAAAAATGCAAAAGAAAAAAGATAAAGAAAAAAAGAGACGACTCCAGGTAGAACGCGGAAATCAATAAAGGCGAAGAAAGAGGGCATCCTTTTCCCGATGGATCGAACACAGCTTTCCAGTTTTTTAAAAATAAGAAGAAAACCAAAAGCAACCCTTGAGAACCGGCCCCGCCGGTTACCCCATCCACCGAATCGACAACCCATCAAAAAAAAAAAAAAAAAAAAAAAAAAAAAAAAAAAAAAAAAAAAAAAAAAA